TGCCGCTGTTGTGATGGATTTTTGCCATCTGTAAACTGCAGCTTTCTTTTTAATTTTGCCTGTCCCACAGTGTTAGCTGGTAGACTGTACAGATGCATTGGTGCTGAATGAGGTATGGCATAATGGGGACGTATATTGGCGGGGAGAAGTGGTTCGCTGGCTACAGAAAACCGGCTAGGAAAGTTAATCCCTTGTTGCACTACAGCTGTTTCCTGCCTTTTGACCCTTTTATTATGCCACTGAACCAGGGTGGTGTAGCTCACATCCACCAGCTGCAATGTAGTCTGTTGCATGACATCTCCATTTGCTAAAATTAGCTGTCTGATTTTTCTGTAGTCCTGAAGGATCAGATCCCATCTTGAGACTGTGCTAGTCCTTTTTTTTTTCGGACTACGATGGATATTGCAAAGGCGAACGAATATGGTCTCAACCAGGCGACAGCAGTCTGGCCATTGAGCAGATGGGGCTGTAGTGGTTAAGGCATGCCGCTTCACACTTTCAACCCCAGGGGTAAATTCCTGCCTCTTTTTGGGGGACCTAAACCTGCCAGTGTTCAGTTTGTCTTGGTGCCTTGCAGCAAATACCACCTTCTGCTTGTCGAAGTTCATGAGGTTCTCCCACAAAGCAATAATGCTGCTAACCTAAACAGAGAATAATGCAGTTGTACATTAGGACACAGGATTGCTTATGAGATATGAGGAGTGTTCATAGTGCATGTATGCAGCAAGCATACAACACATGTTACTGACCTCCTGGTTGTTCAGGACCAGAGAGGTTTTTTTCCTCAGCTCCACCAGATACTCAGCCAAGCTGTCCACTTTGTCAAGGCCTGGTACACCTGCCTCATCCACACCCTAAGAAAACAGAACCCACATGACAGATATAAGTAAAATGAAATTTTGTTACATTTTTCTTTTATTTATCTACTGTTCTACAGTTTACTATTTATTCAAAACTATGGCATATTGCAAGCTATGGCAGACTAGGTGGAGGTTAAAACCTGTGAAGTGGCAGCAGGCTGGGTGGATGTGGAAGCAGGCTGGGTGGATGTGGAAGCAGGCTGAGTGGATGTGGAAGCAGGCTGGGTGGATGTGGAAGCAGGCTGAGTGGATGTGGAAGCAGGCTGAGTGGAGGTGGAAGCAGGCTGAGTGGATGTGGAAGCAGGCTGGGTGGATGTGGAAGCAGGCTGAGTGGAGGTGGAAGCAGGCTGGGTGGATGTGGAAGCAGGCTGAGTGGAGGTGGAAGCAGGCTGGGTGGAGGTGGAAGCAGGCTGGGTGGAGGTGGAAGCAGGCTGGGTGGAGGTGGAAGCAGGCTGGGTGGAGGTGCAAGCAGGCTGGGTGGAGGTGGAAGCAGGCTGAGTGGAGGTGGAAGCAGGCTGGGTGGAGGTGGAAGCAGGCTGAGTGGATGTGGAAGCAGGCTGAGTGGAGGTGGAAGCAGGCTGTGTGGAGGTGGAAGCAGGCTGGGTGGAGGTGGAAGCAGGCTGAGTGGAGGTGGAAGCAGGCTGGGTGGAGGTGGAAGCAGGCTGAGTGGAGGTGGAAGCAGGCTGAGTGGAGGTGGAAGCGGGCTGGGTGGAGGTGGAAGCAGGCTGAGTGGAGGTGGAAGCAGGCTGGGTGGAGGTGGAAGCAGGCTGGGTGGAGGTGGAAGCATGCTGGGTGGAGGTGGAAGCATGCTGGGTGGATGTGGAAGCAGGCTGAGTGGAGGTGGAAGCAGGCTGGGTGGAGGTGGAAGCAGGCTGGGTGGAGGTGGAAGCATGCTGGGTGGAGGTGGAAGCATGCTGGGTGGATGTGGAAGCAGGCTGAGTGGAGGTGGAAGCAGGCTGGGTGGAGGTGGAAGCAGGCTGGGTGGAGGTGGAAGCATGCTGGGTGGATGTGGAAGCATGCTGGGTGGATGTGGAAGCAGGCTGAGTGGAGGTGGAAGCAGGCTGGGTGGAGGTGGAAGCAGGCTGAGTGGATGTGGAAGCAGGCTGAGTGGAGGTGGAAGCAGGCTGGGTGGAGGTGGAAGCAGGCTGGGTGGAGGTGGAAGCATGCTGGGTGGATGTGGAAGCATGCTGGGTGAAGTTTTCGAGTTGTGAGGTCGCAGAGAGAAGGACATCATCTTGAAGTCCTGGTACCATTAAGTCCAAATCATCCTCATCCATGAAGCCTTCATCTTCCTCCCCTTCAGTTGGATCCACTTCTTCTAGAAGCCCATCAGTCTCCTCTGAGTCAGGCTGTGGTTTTAGAGGCTTGCCCGTTTGACTTAACAGGTAGTCAACACCCAGCAGCTCACCTGTGGGAAATTAATGAACACAGATAGCAAAACCCTTATTCACTCTTTAAACATATTAGTGACTTAGTGATACAATAGTTTAACTGTTTTTTTCCTTTGCATATATCAAATTAAAATACCTGTGTATTTTGATGGAGGTGTGAAGTTTGGAACGTACTCTCTTCCAAGTACCTTCAGGCTGTTCTTATTAATGCACTGTGTCATGTCTCCAGCATATGTGAGAAGACACAATGGCTTGCTGCTCACTGCTGCAGTGCCCCGATCCTGATTCCACCTGTTAAGGCCTTCCAGAATATACAGCTGGAAATTCAGCAGATTTGCGCTCGTTCCTGAAAAAAAACAAAAAAAACAAAAATCAAGATATTTGTGGATTTAAAATATGGCTAGTTAATTCAGTTTCGATAGCAAATACAGTTCAGCTGTGTAACTGTGGTGAGGAGGACTTACCAGGAATAAACCTGTTCAAATGGCAATGGAAAGACTCCAGAGATGTTGATCCTCTGGCACAGCGGTAGCTGGTGAGCTTGATGCCATTTTTGTTCATACTTCCTACTTCAGTGTACAACTGAATCCCTGGAACATCTTGGATGCATTTTATGTGTCGTTTTTGCACACGCCAGATGTGATCCATCCTCACTTCATCCAGCAGAGGGACGCCCATCAAGTCTCTCCCTTTTGGACCCCTCAGCTCCTCCAGTAGTCGTTCTATATGTAGAAGTGTTGCTTCCTCTCCCCGAGTCCTCCTACGGCAGTAAGTACTCAGCTCGTTTTTGGTTATTTGGCTGTCCACCATGCTGCTGGTTATACCAGGTCTCTGTTCTTGTTGGAGCTGCTTTGTTTTTGCTCTCCGGAGGAGGTCAAGATCCCCTGCATCCCACTCAAAGATGCACGAGGACAGGGCTCTCATGAAAGCAGGATAAAGGGGATGAGCATCTGTAGTACATCCCACAGCCAGACGCCGCATGAAATGCCAAATATCAAGTCGAATGTGGAGATCTGGCCACTCTCCAAACCTTGCCTGCAGCTTGCTCAACCCATCAGTCACACAGCAGCCACAGTCAACATATAGGACCTTAGGAGGTGCAACCCCAGCCTGGCGGTACCGCTCCATCAGGCCAGCAGCCATCCTGTCAAGACCTGGACCCTCCTGCACAGTTACCACACTATTTAAGATCTGGCCCAGCTCATTGCCCACAGAAGACACCCACAGAGCCGTTCCTTTGCTGTGTCCTGCCAGCTTCTTTGTGATCTACAATTAAAAATGTGATGTTAAATCTCATTACAAGGGAGTTTATCAAGGAGAATAGAATAATAGTAGTAATGCTGGTAATAATAATAAATGCTATTTTCATTATATTATTACTAACCTTTTTGGTGGAATCCATCTTTAATATGGTGCCTACTGTGGATGTGATGCTGGCTTTGATGTGGTCAATGCGTGACAGGATGTCTCTGCCATACACAGACAGCAACCAGCGATCAGTGGGGACATCAGCGGGCTCTGGGGGCTCCTGGCACACAACTGGGAACAGGCTTGGCCGATTAACAAAGTTAGAGCACTCTTCAAAATAATGCCCCAACCTATCCAGCCATTCCTCCCCATGATTTTCTTTTAGTTGTTTCAGCAGCCGTGCAGAGCTGTTCCCCTGAGTCCTATCCCGCATCAGGCGAATGACACGTATGTCACAGGCATACCTGGAATTTAGATTAATAAAGCATTTAGTTTGTAGTAACATTTACAGATCTTTTTATTTTGTACTAAGTGCAAAACTACTTTATTTATGCCTGAGAGGAATTTACAAACTCCAGTATCTTATGCCTGAAGTTACCATTTTACAAAATGTTTTACTTACTTCTGGGTCAGGATGAGCCGAAACAGCTTTTGGTGTGGCAAGTCCAGCTGTTCCCGGATGGTCTGGGACGTTGATATGTATGTGAGATTGCACCCACTGCACCTGAGTGTCTCTGTCACAAGCAGGTAAAACCTATCAATATCCAGGACCTTCCGAGCCCTTTTGTGGATACCAGCACCTGTAAGATGCTTCCCACAACCTCGGCAGAACACCCGGACCTTCCACTGATGGTACGGCATCCACACCATAAGCCGATGGGAAAAAAAACGATCAGGTGTTGGTATCTGGTGGTAGATCAGGGCTGGCACAGGAGGGTTATACCAGAGCTTCAAATCTGGTCGCAGTTTTCCAGAGCGAAAGAGGGTATTAGAAATCCATCTTTGATCTTGCACAGGTATGGTTTTCCTCATCTCACTTGGAAACCAGAAATTAGCTGCATCCCCAGCTGCTCCTGACTGTAGCAGGGACATTCCAGACTCCCCCTGAAAACAACACAAGAGATTTGGAAATCTGCATAAATATATCTTAATAATTGGACCTATGATTCCATTACTTTCATGAAGAAAAACTCTTGTATTTACAGATGAAACTGTCTCGCAGGTGTGTGCTGGGATCCCGGAGGATGAAGCGATGCTAGGGCTCCTCACAGCAGATAAAGAAGATGGAGAGGGACTAGGGCTTATTTCAGAGGATGGAGACAGGATAGGCGTCCTCACGGAGGATGGAGAAGGGCTAGAGGTCCTCACAGAAGACGGAGTCGGGGTAGAGGTCCTCACAGAGGACTGAGACGGGGTAGAGGTCCTCACAGAAGACGGAGATGGGGTAGAGGTCCTCACAGAGGACTGAGATGGAGTCGGGGTCCTCACAGAAGACGGAGACGGGGTAGAGGTCCTCACAGAGGACGGAGACGGGTTAGAGGTCCTCACAGAGGACTGAGACGGGGTAGGTTTTTTCCGGGCCACCAAGTTGGGCTTCAGTGAATCCGACAGAGACCCACCAAAACGGGATTTAGTGAACTGAAATAATAAATGTAAACTAATGTAAAATAAATCTAATATGAATCGCAGCATCTAAATACACACAAAAACATGTTGCTTGAAAGCTGTTATTATGGTTTGTTGCACAAGGCAAATGTAATACTATGAAGTATTAAGCAGAGGAACAAAAACATTTACCATGGACAAAGACAGAGGGACCCTCAAGAAAGACCGTGCGGCTGGAGCTGTATCAGCAGAAGTAGATGGTGCAGCCATAGAGTGCTGGGTCACAGGAGGAGGATGCTGCAGAGCAGGCTAAAAAAAGATATATATTCTAGGTATAAAAAGATCATTCACCAGAATTGTAAAAGACAAGACATAGCTGTTATTTTAAACCAGTTTACCTTAGCAGAGTGAAAGCTGCAATTACACGACACAGACCCTCCAAAAAGGGTGGTCTGACCTTGGGCTTTGAATGGGGCATTTTTCTATCTGAAACATTACAGCATCATCCTATTAATGACAATTACTCATGCGTCTTTTTTTTATTAATTAATTAATTTATTTTATACAGTGGCTTCACTTCACCTTCTGATAAAGATCATGCCATTTCTTCTGCCTTGGGGCTGGTCTATTTCCAGCATCTGAAGGCCAAACCCCACTGCTGGCAAATGCCCTGAGCCTTGCCATCCACTCCCCATCTCCCATCCCTTTATGGCTCTTTGGCTTGGTGCTCATCTGAAGACAATATAAAAAAAAAGAGAAGAATCAAACATAATACAGTATTAATGCACTTTATACAGCTAACAATTGGTATGACATGAAAGGATTTAAAGATTTTTACTGACATTTTAAATTAAAAAGTTACTATATTGTAAACCTTAACCTTTTAAAACTGTGTCAGTTTGCTAACAGAACATGACATCATAATACCATTAATTTACTTAATCTATGGTATATTATATTTAGCTAATGAGTAATAAAGAGGGAAAATGTGACATCATAATACCATTAATTTATTTAATCCTCAGTATATTATATTTATCTCATGTGTAATAAAGAGGGAAAATGTGACATCATAATAAAGAGGGAAAATGTGACATCATAATACCATTAATTTACTTAATCTGTGTTATGTTATTCGTAGCTAATGTGAAATAAAGAGGGAATAACGTTGTTTGAATGGAAGGAAACAATAAATGATATAAATGTATACTTACTGTAAGGTTCTTTTTTTCTTGATGAGAAAAGTTGGCCACCGAGAGCTAAATTTTCCAAGATCGGCAACCTTTTTTCTCTCTCTTTTTTAATTTTCTAAGATACGAAAATCAGAAAGTTTTTTTTCTCTCTCTATATATTTTTTTCTACAAGTTATGCTTCACGTTGATTGGCCGACTTCCATTGTGAGCTCAGACATTGATTGGCTCTTAAATCGTGACGGTGATTGGCCGAGGTCCATTGTGAGCTTGGATGTTGATAGGCTCAAGCAGAGTGACGGTGATTGGCCTGTATCCATTGTAAGCTCGGACGTTGATTGGTTCCGGATATCGTGGCGGTGATTGGCGGAGTTCCATTGTGAGCTCGGCCGCCGATAGGCTCGGTCCATTGTGAGCTGGTGCGCCATTGGTCAATCGTCCAATGTGAGAATGGAGAGGGGCGAAGCTCGTTGGATGAGAAATGCAGACTAACGCGAGCGAGGTAGCGCCATAAACTCGCAACCCGTGACACCCCTTCCAGTCTGCTACTCGACCTATGTAATTCTGACTCATGGGACGCCGAAATGGAGTCAGACTGCCACCTAGTGGCTATAGTAGTCACATGTTTTTCACACAATACGTGAAACACGCGGAGCGTGAGTGAAGTGTCCATTTCCAATCAGCGCCCACTGTAATGTATTTAAGCAGCATAGAGGTCCACCGGCTCACACTACAAATCAGATGCAAATCAAACAGCCAAGCCTTGTGGTCTGTTAGAGTCTTTTGTTGTGCATGGGCTGTGTTCTTTCACATCATAATGGAAGTAATTTCATGTAATTTCTTTGGATTGAATTCCATTACTGAATTGTAAATGCTTGGAAGCTGAAACAGCAATCATCCCCCTTTGTTCAGTTATGGCTTTTCTCTTTTCACAAAGATAGCTTCTTTCAAGCCACACCTCTTCAAAGGTGTCTCCTTTGTTCTTGAACTTGAAGCTTAAAGCTGAATCTTAACCAATGCTGCTGGTTGTCTTATGCTGTGCCGTGTGTTTGTGTTGTTGTTGCTTGGTTTCTCCAATATGGGAGGCTATACAGTCCTCACCTCACTGGGTCGAAAGCTCTCTTTTTTTTTAATCATTCTCAAACCAATGTCTATTGATTGAAGGTATTGTCATGATTTTTCTAAGGCTCGGACCCACATGCAGTCAAGCCAAACAGAGAGACACAGTATAAAGTTCAACGGGTTTTATTGCAGGTAGTTTGAGTTCAATGCAGAGTTCCTCCGAACTCTGTTCAGCCGGAAACTGGAAGACGAGGGGAAGACAGCCTGTTAGATTCAAGCTCAGTGGGAAATTGGAGTTGTTAATCTTGAAGGAGATGATTTGTTGCCACTCACGTTTCCAGAGAAGAAGAGACACTTAGACTTCAGTCTGTGTGTTGGTCTTCCAGAGTTTGTTTGATTCGGTGGAGGGCGGAACAGGGTTTACCCAGAACTCAGACGGAGTGGAATGATGCAGCCGCTGGTTGCAACTCAGTTTTCCTGTGGTACTTGAACGGGTCGTGGTGAAGATGATTTCCTTACTCAGTGAGTGATCTCAGCGTGCTCAAAGGTGGCTGGATCCAAACCTCCTGTTTGGAATCTGTCGCTAAGTGTAATACTCAGTTGATCCTACTTGGGAGAAGGCGGGGCAGAAAGGTCCAGTTGTAAGAAGGCTTCCTGTTGAAAGGCAAAGAACAAACAAAGTTGAGTCTCAGGGAGAAACAAGCGCTCAGTAAAACTCATTATGATCTCAGCTTGGCTAGAGGACAAAAACTCAAAATGCAAAGACTCTGATTAGACTCAGAATAAACAAGGCTTGGCTAGAGTAGCCTACCCCAAACTGGCAATAAACTCTGGCGTCGAAGTAGTGGCAACCAGCAGCTTAAGAGCAGTAAGAGCGTTTGCAGGTGTGTGAGGAGGCGAACCGGAGCCAGGCGCCTCCTGGTGGAGGAAGGGAGAAACACAAAAGACAAGACAAACACAAAAACAGGGATCCTGGCAGGTATTCTATTTTCTGCATTATTTTATCTATTTGTATTGATAGCCAAACATTCCTTTGGTATAATGCTACCACAACCATTCCTGACCATAACATTGCGTTTTTTAATTGAATGGCTGCTGTGCCATGTGTTTGTGTAGTTGTTGTTTGGTTTCTTCAATATGGAAAGCTGTACAGTCCTCACTGCACGGGAACACATAAACCGACATTCATTTTTTCAAACTTTACTGTTTATATTGATGTCCTTTGTAAAATACCAACAGTTATTCCCATTAACTGTCCCACTATTGTTATTTTATTTATATTGAATAATCATATTTTCTGAGAGTTTTTTGTTTTCATTAGCTGCATGCCATGATCTTTAAAATTATCAGGAAGCAATGCTTGACATACATGACTTTGTCTAATGAATCTATGTAATACATGAATTAAATTATTTCAGTTATTTATATGAATTACATTTTCAATGTATTAAGGAATCTTCAAAAAAAATGGCATTATTTCATGGCAAAGAAATTCTATAATATGCTGTTGTAAGATTAATACTTTATATGAAGACAGAAACCTGTTTGACATCTTTGGTAGTGAAATGAAAACATTGTGCTTAAACAATGTTGTTAAGGCATAATGGCTCTCACTAGAGAGAATAATCGATGCCTTGGGGTGACATCTTGGTTGTGGATGGACATGAGAACGTAGCTGTCGAATGAGAAAGAAACAGCTCTCTTTAATAAGGGCCTTCAGCTGGACTCTTACAGTGATGGAAAACAACCTTCTATTGCTGCCTGACAGCTTCCAGCAATCACTGAAGGAGGCTTAGCTTCATTGCACTTGGAAGTGATCTGCCCATTTTGAAAAGAAATAATTTTTAGGGTTTATATGGTAGATTTTTTATTTTATTTCTCTCCTTTCGAAATCTGTGTGGAGTGTTAACTCCTCTGTGGTGTCTGATAAAACAGAGCCATTTTGAAGAGAATCCTCAGACTCCTGAGTTATGTCTTTTCACTGTGGCTTAGCTGACAGGAGAACCAGATATGAGTTTAATCAGTGAATTGAATAGGCGTATCCAGCTTATCTTGAAAAGGTTCTCTCATGGTGTGAAGCTTTCTGTAGATGAGTGCTTCAGCTTAATGTTGATTACAAAGGAGGGATATTTCCACGCTTTTTTTTTTCTTTTTTGTTGTGGATTGTTATGTATTTATTCAGCTCCTGGGTCAGATTCATACTCTAAAATTTCTTCTGTTTGACTAATTAGGGCTGTGCTGGCTTATCTACACTATTCTGCTAGATACAGAAGATTGGGAAGCCAAGTTTCTCACTCAGTAAGCACCTTATTTTCCCTAGATATCAGTGCTGATATAACTGTACTGGTATTAACACTAAAGTAAGCTTTTATATTCTTAATTGCCTGCAAACAGCTTATTAGGCATCTTATCCAAATCTGTCAGATAAGCATAAATAACTGCTAAAAGATAACAAGCAGCCCTTTTTTGTATAAAGGTTAGAATTTAACTTGTGAAAAATATTTTAAACAATGGTTAGAAAAGAGAATATCGACATAAACCACACCATTTCTTAAGTCATTTTTCAATACTCCGTGACAGAGCAGGTCTCTAACATTAGAGAAGCAAATGGAGCAGTGGCGTTAGGTCAATGCCAGTAAGAGAGATTGTAAAATTTCTATGAAGAGGCTAAATGAAACTTGTGCCCTGCTTGCTGTGACAAGACAGCATTTACCATAGGACCACAATGGCTCTGTGGCATGAAGTCAACACAGTTAAGCTGGAGCACGGCGTGACGGATGGAGGGCAGTTGCACCTGTTCTCCCTGCAGTGAGCCATCCCACCCGACTCATTTGCTTGACCTTGACAACGAAGTCACTATGACTCAAAAGGTGTAAATGTAAGCACCCTCAGGAGACAACCTAACCATGGCGTTCACTAATCCACTCTGTAAGACGCTGAAGCTGCAGCCTACCGGCAGCCTGCTCATTAAATAGGGTTGCTTGTGTTGACAAGTTCTGCAGAATGTGAGCAAAGTATTACCTAACAGTGCAAAAATATTTTCGGCTGTTGAATAAACGGATGGAGCCTTTTTACTGTTTGTTTTTAGCTTGTAGTTTGTTGGAGCCGCTTTGTCTTCAGTGGTGTCATTGATGAAGAAAAGCAAACCTTGTGTTTGAATTGTACTGTTGCAAAGTGTACATTAGGTTTAAGAGTTTTTAAAAATAT